GCACCTCCAGCCTTCTCAGTTGGTAGAGCATGGGAAGCTGAAAAGTCCTTGACTGGTGTAAGCACTGCTTAGCAATAACTAAAACATTGGTGTGTTATCAACATTATTCTCATACTAAATCGAAAACACAGCACTGTACCCGCTACTAGGAAGAAAATTAACTCTATCCCAGCCGAAACCAGGACAGTATTCACCCCTTATTCTATACAATCTATGTCATTCCCAGATCCCTCACTTTCCAATACATTCCCATTAATCACCACCCCTTTTCCTGTTTTTTTGATATATATATATATACACACAGATATCATTCCCTTAGTCTATGGGCTATCCCTCTAAAATGTTCATTGAGTTCATTTAGTCCATGACTGCGGGCTCCATCTGTCATAATAATCTTTCAGGGCAGGAAAGATGGAGATAGTATGTGGTGTTGGATTGTTTCATGTTGAAGTCAGTTCTGGTTCCATCATCACTGCGCTTTGCTCGGTTTCAGTGAAGTTCATTCTTCATTAATCTGGGTGATTCTTACTGTAATATCATTGGTATGGCATATAATATTATGTAGCAATTAACATCATATAGTTCAGATCATTGGCTATTCTCACCCAAAATCAAATCCCTTTGAGGTACACATTGGAATTCCCCATCCTTCCGCATTATCCACCAAGTGCACCCAGGTCCTTGAGCAAAAGCCGTCCCACGTATGGGTTTGCCTTTGCCCGAGGCAGGAATAACCCAGACTGTCTTCCCCAGCATATTTTTTATGTGCACTACAGGGACTTTATTCCCATCTGCAGTATGTAAAAGTAATAGATTTTTTTAAATTTGCTTTTAGGGGACACTTCAGCAGTTTGTAGATAACTTCTTTCATAGTGTGCTCAACTCGAACCATGTGGTGCCACCAGCTGTGAAATACTTCTTTGACTTTCTTGATGAGCAAGCAGAAAAACATGATATCAAGGATGAAGATACCATTCACATCTGGAAAACAAACAGGTACAGTATGAACAGAGTAATACTTGTATTGCAGAGTAATGAGAGTGTAATTTGCAGGTATGTGCTGGCACTCTTACCACAAGTCAAAGTAAATTTCATTTATAATTCTCAGAATCATTTTAATTGAGATAATATGTTTATATGATCAAAAGGATTCCCTATAAGCCTAGAAGCTGCAAAAATGAAACCAGCCTACCTATGGGATAGTCATTGGCAGATTTGTCCTTTACTTTTTGTCTTTCCTCAGAGAAGAGGAAAGCAAGAGGCAAATGGGACTAGATTTACCCGTCAAAGCACAAAATCTAATAAAATACTACTCAGGTAGTTTCTCTAACCACGCAGACATCTTCTCTTGCTATTTTGGGGCACTCGAGATTCTTCTCATATGAGTTTTTCTGTGAGCGATGTAAAGGCTTGGTTTTCAGACATGGAAACCAGACAACAGGTAGCTTATATAAATGTTGAAATATAAAATTAAGCTTCACTGTTGTGAGGAGATCAAAATGCAAAACCCGTACTTAATTTCATGTTATTTGCTTGTTGTAGAACATTTATTGTGTAAAAAGGATTATTTATCTTTTTCCTTGCTTTGCAGCCTGCCTCTTAGATTCTGGGTAAACATACTGAAAAATCCCCATTTCATCTTTGATGTTCATGTTCATGAAGTAGTGGATGCTTCCTTGTCAGTCATTGCACAGACTTTCATGGATGCTTGCACAAGAACAGAGCACAAATTAAGCAGAGTAAGTGATTTGCATTCTACATCCTGACTACGTTCATGCCTGACAAGGCAAAGGGCATCCTCATAGACAATACTCATTCCCTAAGGAGGTACAGCCTTGATAGTTTCTTTTTAGTTTTATAATAACGTTAGCATTTCACCACTTAACAGGTTGGTGAACATGTCAGTGTTACCGTGTAGTCTGCCAATTGATATTTATAAAAAAGAGAAAATAGCAACTGCTTTTATAAAAACCAAGTTTAAGAACTGATTATTTCATGTCCACCAATAATTTAGTATCATCTTGCATTGATATATTTGTAAAACTCAACAGTAATGCCGTGTGTAAACTTCCTCCTTTTAGGGCAAATAATTCCACCAATGTTAATAAGCATCCAAATGTTAATATCGGTAAAGCTCAAGTGCATGTGAATATAAAGGCTTGATCCTAAGTTCTTGACTTTCTTTTGCTTCCTAGAGAGGTTCATAAATCAACCAAGTTTCTCTCTATTATAAATTTTTCAGGATTCTCCGAGTAATAAATTACTTTACGCGAAAGAAATCTCTAACTATAAGAAAATGGTGGAAGAGTAAGTATAGACTTTTTTTATGCTTATTCGGAGTTGTTAGGGCTTTAAGCCTGTGTAAGAGGAAAAGCAAATGCTGAGGTAGTCCAAGTCAACTGTCAAGTGTTAAAAATTTTACACCTGAATATTAAGACGTTCCCTTGGTGGTGGCGTTGGCAGGGTTGAAATGGAGCGCCATTATGACCCAGTGCGTGTTTGTGTCTGTGCAGACAGATGAATAGATTTATTCAGGAGAAAATATGATGCTGTTTTCTGCAGTGGTTGTTGTTACCCATACGATCTGTCTAATCAACACTGCACTTCCATAACTCAGTAGAGATCAAATCCTGAAAACATTTTCAGAAACACATTTTTTCTATTCCATCTCTGACTTTATTCATTTACTAATTGGCAATTCTGTGAATACCATGGAAGATCTGCTGCAGGACAAAACTCTTGCTAGCTGATGACTTGAAAAGTTTGAAGACCTAAAATAATCATCGGCTGCAATTATAAATAGATTTCTTTCCTGTGGTACGGCCCTGTACAATCAGGTACGATTTGCCTCTGTTGTGAAGGTACTAATGACTGTTGGAAGGCAGGATTACTAAAGGAATCATTGGTCTGTTGTGGTAGAGCATCTCCTGCATTATTAGGAATGTTTAAAATAATTGCAAAATTGAAAGACAGAATTACCAGAAAACCACGGTGTATTTCACCTAATTGAAAGTCTGTTTTTGTCTGTTGCAGTTACTACAAAGGTATTCGTCAGATGGTGCCAGTTAGTGACCAGGACATGAATACCCATCTAGCAGAGATTTCTAGGGTAAGAATAAATTCCATTTTCTTGTCCTGAAATTGGAGCCAAGTTTTTCTTTGTCTTCTCTTTCTAACTCAACAAGTAGGTTTTTTGTATGTGCAAACATCAAATGAGTTATTTCATAAATCTCTGAAATGCTCCTGTTTAGTGTAGTCGTGCCTTTTAGCCCTTTGAAATGTTGATTATTGAATGGAACCAAGAATGGTTATCATCACTAATCTATCTGAGTGATGTAGGTGCCAGAGCAAAGTGTTTGGATTTTTTCACATCCATTGTGGAAAAATTATAGCACTCTTGAATTGTGTTTTCTGTCCACAGCATATAGAGGATTTTTAGCATTGATCATACTGATAACAAGTAATGACTGAATTCAGAGTGCTACCACAACAAAAATTAGATTCCAGAAATGAAAGAGGAGGCATGTACGTTAAGTATAGCCTATTTTAGAGCTGTCTATACGAGGGCAATACTTCTGCTTTACGCTGCGTGAGAAGCTCACCATGTGCTCACTCGCTCAGTGGCACATTTTGCTTTATAGGTTATTGGGGGTTACCTCTCATGGAGAAGAGCAGAGGGGGGTGGTTGCTAGCTGGGGACTCCGGTTGGAAAGTGGTGGAGCAAGGACACTACAAAACCTGCTTCTGTCTTGAAAGAGCCTGTCCGCTCTGCAGCTCAGCTTAGTTAGAGCAGGCTCGTGCCTTCGAAGCACTCGATTTAACTTGGAGAACCAGCAGAGGCTCTCGCCAGTCTTAAAAGATGTTGTTTAGCCTGAGCAAAGAGACAGTGTACTTAACTGTCTGGTTTACTCATTTGCTTAATTTAGTTAAGGAGTTCTAGCGTAAGGAGGATGTTTGGGGAATTTTTGGTGGTTTGTTTATCTCAGTGACCTTAGGACCTAACATTTTGCAGATCGACATCCTCATGAGAGCATTTCTAGTTTCAGTCATTCACTACAAAACTCATCTGCAGTGACATTTCATTTTCCAGTTCACTTTATTTATTACACAAATAGAGATGTATATAAAATTAAAATGTTTGGTGATTAAAAGTAAATTCAGTAGAATGTTTTAACATCAGCAGAATATGTTGATCCTTTCTACTTACATTATAAATTATGATAAAAATTATTATGGAAGGAGTGATGAAACATTGCAAATTTTGACCAGCTCTAGAAGTGACTTTTATAGAGCAAGGAAAGATGGATGTTTCTCTGCTGCTTTATGCCTTGGGTAATCATTTATGCCAGTAGCAATATTTTGCAATTCTTCATTTTCTTAACTAACTTAAAAGACCAAAGGTGTAGCTAGAGACTTGAATCCTATATGTTTGAATGAAAAACATCTGTTTAGACAGGTAGAGCACATTCACTAAATAAGTTAAATGTCGGGGGGGAGAGAGGAAGAGGTAATGGAAGGGTTATTTCCTGCTTCATTTAAAGTCCTTCTTCTCTCTGTCTCTCTCTCTTTCCATCTTCATGATTCAGATGGCTTTTTCCGAACGTACATGTGCTCATGATCTTGATGAGTTACACCTTTGCTGTAGTGAGGTGTGAATAATTTCAAAGAGATAAAAAGAGCTGGAGAAAGGATTTCAAACAGCCATGACAGTGACAGAACCAATGCTTAATATCTCAACAACACAGAGATTGTACTAAGTAAATGCTTCAGTTATACATACCCATGTTGTTAACAGATGTTTGAGCTGTAGTCTGTGGTTTGACGTTCAGAGTTCAAAATATTTTCCACCTCCAGTGTTAGAGTTGTGGGCAGGCTGGAAAAACACCAGCGGGAAAGTCTTGATCTAAAAATCACCAAACAAAAGTTTTCTCACCCCTTTTTTCTGCCCCAACTGTCATTTAACAAAAGTTACAGGATGCAGAGCTTGCATTTGGAAATCTTGTATATTGTATCCAACAGTTGTGCATGTGCATAACTTTCAGCTGTCTGTGATCATATTTTGACACGTTTGCTGCCCGCTTGTGTTGTTTAACAGGCACATACCGATTCCTTAAATACGCTTGTGGCTCTGCACCAACTCTACCAGTACACTAACAAATACTATGATGAGGTAAGTTGTGGCTTTTGCTTTCATTTTTTAATATCAATGGTAAAAAGTTATGAAGGCTAACATCAGTCTAAAGGAACAACTTCTGAATTCCCTGGATAATCAGGTAAAAGCAGTGCTGAACAGAAAGCTCTAACTTTGCAGTTATACACCTTGCTTGGCAATTACACTGGTCAAGGGTGTGTTCTTATAAATGAATAATTTCATTATGGGCTATCTGGTTTTGGTAGTGAGAGTTTAACAAGATCTGAAAGAGAAATAGATTTAAAAATCATTTCTCTTCAGTTCTACCATCCTAATTCCTAAGAATTCCTAAGAATTAGGACATAAGAATGTCACCGAGCAAAAAGTAATCGTCAGAGCTGTATCAGGTTTCACGCCAGTGGTTTTTTTGTTAGGAACAATCCATTAAACTTGTTTTGCTTGTAGGAATGGGGCCATGCCTTTTTTGTTAGTTAAGATGCACTTAAAACTTCCATGCATGCTACCGTCCCTGTTTTGCCGTGCCAAATGAAGTGCCTGCCCAAGGTAAACCGGAGTAACTGTTGAATATAGCCTGATTCAAAAGGAGTCTCACAGATTCTGTCCAAAACGTTTCTTAGGTTTTTCACGCCCTGTGGGAAGGGAGACAAAGAATATCCTAGTGTAGCTGGGCTGTGGCATGGCTCTCCAAATTTAATCTGAAAACAAAGAGAAGGAAACTTTTATTCAAAGGTTTCCATGGAAATGAATGCCTCCAGAAAACTCTCAGAATTAAATCAAAGCAAGTAAGAACAGATGCTGAATCAGAAAAGAGTAGAGAACATGTGAGCTCTCTTCGGTTTGTCTTGCACCTCAGCACAGTTCGTGTTTTCACTTATATTTAGCACTAAAGGCAGTGAGTCTCATCCTCAGCTTCACTGCAGCTGCTTTATACAGGAGCAGCCAGCCTGTCGCAGCTTCTAAACAGATGTAAGCAGGGAAAATCAAATCACCCTGCGAAGTCTTGCAACGAGGGTCAGTAGGGGAAACAGCCAGAGGAATGCAGGCCAACCCGATAGCGTTGGTTTCCTCGCCCCTCATCCCCAGCGCTAACCAAGCTGGCTTTCAATGCCTTCCCGAATGTGTCCGTGGCCTGACCTCTTACAGAAACACTCAGGGACCCTGGATGACAGATGAACCGTAAAGCCCTGATTCTTCCACACCCCTGTGTCCCTGCTTCCACTCGTGGTTTCACGTTTGGTGGCAGGCGCAAGTGGAGTTACCAGTCTGTGGGACTTCATCGGTGGCAGGCCAGCAAACCGCAGTGCGTAGCTGCAGCTCTTCCTTTCACGTACATCACGGTATAACAACAAGGTGCATCTGATGAAAAGGCTGCTAATTCAGTGTTATGGAGATAATCTGTCAAGAACCATTCAGTAAAATTAATCGAGCTTATTTATTTTCCATGAAAATGTTTTAATTTGCATAAATTGGAACATTTTGCAGCTGCCCTTGTCTTTATTACTGACGCAGTGGTTCCCAGCATGCGCTGTACCTTCTGCATCTCTGCAGGGCTTGACAATGACTAAGTGGGTACATTCTAATTGTCCACATTTATATGAAGGATATATTCACCAGCAGAGATAATCATGAATTATTTAGTCTAGATTTGAGGAGTTACAGCTAGCTGTAATTGTTTAAATTAAGGGAACAATATCAAATTAAATTAGGCCAAATTTAAATATTGTAATAAGTGTTTATTAACTCTGTCTTGTAAAAATGTTTTCGTGCTTTAAAAACAAATCCATTAAAATAATTATTTCTAAACAAATCTGCTGCAGTGTTTGAAACTCAAATGCTATTCCAGCCCTTCAAAGTGAAATTATTGGCTAGATTGATACTGACTGCATTAATCTCCATTGTCAATGATCTGCAAGAAGTAGTAAGAACCACAGGTAGTGACAGGCAAACTCTATTTCTCCAGTTTTTGTATTTGCAAGTTTATACAGTATTTAAACAGAGCTAAAGGTTTCTGCTTGATTACAGTGTCTGAGTTTTATTAATAAAGCCAGTTCTAGAAAAGGAACGGTTTTGCCGTGTAACACATTCTCCTAATGGAGAAATCTCATAGTTGGTGGAAAAGTTTCCCTAAAGGATGGTGGAAATGAAAACCTTTTGAAACCTTTGAAATTTGATCTTGAGAAGCCCTAAAAAACTCTATTTGAAGAAAAGCCTTCTCATAACAGGTGACCTTTTCTGGCTCTCGTTTTCAAATCCCTTGTGTCTTAGAGTCATACCTTCCTATATATATATTCCATCCAGCAGAGGCTGCATGCGGGATGCTGGGGGGCTCCTCTGACGAGCTCTTTGCTTCCTGAGCTACATGGTGCTGGGCCAGAGTCTCGGCATTTCTCGGCAAGAGCCAAAGGGGAGCTGCCGGCAGCTCCCCGACGCTGTGGCCAGACCGTTTTCTTCATCAAATTGCCTACAGACACAAGAGACCTTGTGTTGCCCTACCTAATGCCCGTGCGGGGACCACCCAGGAGCTTCTCATAACCAAAGCTCACGGGAATGGGGCTTAATTACTGCTGGTAAATGACCCTTAAGCCTTGCAGGGTGCACTGTAAGTAAAAGCACTGTTTCTTAAGTAGCTATAAAGACGTTTTTCCCCCTGCCTGCTCCATCTTGGAATGTAGGATTTCACAAGATAAAGTACAACCTATTAATTTGCTTGGATCCCAGCATAATGGGAAACATTACAGCAACTTAGATAAAGTAAGGGAGACGATCATTTTTATTGCCTTTGTGTAAAAATAGAACATGAGGCCTACTAGATGGACTTTCATCTTTGGTACAGAGTGAATGCAAAAGACTCTTTACAACCAAAGTACTATCAAACACTTGGTCCGGGAACTATATCGTATATTTTAAGCTAAATGATTCTAAACATTCTGTGTTTATTTCTTCCAGATTATAAATGCACTTGAAGAGGATCCAGCTGCACAAAAAATGCAGCTTGCCTTCCGTTTACAGCAAATAGCAGCTGCATTAGAGAATAAAGTGACTGACCTTTGACTCAAAAGCCGCAATAAAGAAATCTGATCTGAAGATGTTCAAATTCATTCTTCCTGTTAAGGAAATAGTGTTCTATTTTTTAATGTATAATTACAACTTTAAATGAAAGATTTCATGTTTTTTTGATAGCAGAGGTGTAATGTAAAAAATTTTTACTGTAAATTATGCTTCTAATTAAAAGCTGTGTTGTGTGTAAATGAATCTTCTGTGGGAAAGAGAGTCCTTTGGTTGGGGGCAGGGTGGGGGGTGGAAGAAGGAAAACCGATAGTTCGTTTAATTTAGTAGAATCTGAGACTTCAGCATTTAGGATTCATTATGCAAGTAAATTCAATACTATAGCATCCTTTCTACATTAAGCAATATTTGTACTAGGAAAACAATAACATACTCAGAGACACATGCAATATCCCCTTTTATTTTGATAACTGGAACTTGACTTCCATGTAGCTCTAAAACTTAGTCTATGCTCATAACGAACATCGTGAACAATGCGTCTGATTTCTCTACAAGATCTGAGAATGGGATTTGCTACCACACACGGTTCTTAATTTAATTATTTGTGTCCATGGTGATGCACAGTATTGCACCCACCACAGTTGGCTGCGACGGAAATAAGAGTAATGTCAATGTAGGAGGGTTCTACTGATAAAGTCTCATTCGGTTCAGAAATCACTGCAAAGAAGGAATTAGTCCTTAAAACTTTACAACTCTTTGTTATTATTGTGAGTTTTATGATATATGCTAATGTGCCTTACTTGTACTAATTCTGTGAATCTGATGAACGGTTTTGTAAAAAGAAGCAGGTCAGAAAAAGAAATATTTATGTGCTATTGAATGACTTTTGTGTGAAAAACATGACCAGCAGAATGCTTGTAATTAGCTGCTTGCCGAGAGTGTGCTGTTTAACATGATTTGATTATGTATAATATCTTATTTTAGAATGGTTCTGATGATTTTTTATTTGAATCTTGGAACTGTCCTAGAGATACCATCACTTGTTTTTATTGTATTTGTGATGTAAAATACTAGTATGATATTGGAAGAATCATATACCCGTCTATTGAAAACCACTCAGTCAGTTTTGAGCCTTGGAATGCTGCATTTGATTGAATACACACCATAACCCACAGCAAAGACAGTTGAAATAACTTGTCAGAAAGTGTGTGTTTACAATATAGGTAAGCTCCGTACAAATCAGAAAGTTAGGTACGTCTTCTTAAATTGCTGTATTGCACATCAGAGAACTTTATTCCTCTTTGTCTCGCAAGTTTTTGGCAGTAAAGTAGCATTTTAATGAAGCGCTGCCATCTGTACTCCTTCGTTCATTGTCCTGCCAAGCACCCGGACTCTGCTGATTCTCAGCAAGCTAACGCAGTGTCTGCTGCCTGCTCTCCCTGCCCGGTAGGTTCTCCTACAGTGACTTTTAGTGTTTGTTAATATCCCCCCCCCCCTTTTGAAAATTTCCTACATTTGTCAGTGGGCCTTCCCTTCAGTTTCCAAAAATCAAAAGACTCGCCAGAACTGGTTTTCTGCCCGGTAGGCTGGGAGGGGGTTTTTTGGTTTGTTTTGTATTTGACTCCTTGCATTTGTGTATAATCATTCCTGAACCTGCCTGGGCTGTAAGTTATTTTACACTGTTTAGGACTGAGGTACATCACTTCTACATAAAGGTGCTTCGCCAGCTACTCCTTCATCAACAAAGGCATCCTAATTTCATGGCTAATCTGTTTCTTTGTCATTATTTGTAAATCCTGTTCATTGTAAATCAAATACAATGTTGTTTTTTTCCACCAAGTGTCACAGGATCTTTACTGAAATTGGGGGGTGGGTGTTGAAAGGGGGTTGTAATGCTTCCTCCAGGGGTGATAGAGCAGCAGCGTCCGTCAATCTGCGGTTGGTAATGGAGGAGCATAGCACATCCTGCAGATGGTGTGCCTGACATCATGCCCTTTTTATGGGCATTTGCTCTGAAAAATGAGAGTACTCCTGAGAAGAGAGGATGTAGTGCAACATCCCATAGCGAGGTCTTCTTGCCTGATGAAAATCCGTCTTGGGATCTGAAAGCCAATTAAAATACAGGCTCAGCAGCACCTCTCCAGAGAGATCAAAAAGCCCTGCTTGAGCAAGTAGGGCTTTCAGAGCGAACATTACGTGTCCCCCACCATCAGTGACTTGATGCAGAGCAGCTGCAGGCGATCATAAGCTGCTGTAGGCTGTGGCAATGCCGTAGCAGGATCTTTCTCACCTGTTTGACAGGCATGTGTGTCTGCTGGCATGTGTGAGTTCATGATGGATCCATTGGTCACTCTTTGGTGTCCTTTTTTTACATCCTGGGAAATCTGCAGGCTTTCGGCGCTGCAGTGCCGTCTGCCAGGGAACACGGAGGCAGATAACTGTGAGCAGCTGCAGCTACAAAGGAGACTTAATGTCAGTTCTTCAGTTCCTCTCAGTCTCCTCTCCTGAAAGCACAGAGTTGGAATATGAATTGAAGAACTGAGCTGGTTTATTTTATTCTTTCCCCTTTTGGCTAAGCTCCTCCAGTGCTTGTTTTTCCACTCTGGTGCTCTGTTTTGTCCCGGCCTAGT